GCATACGTACAGCCAATAAAAGGGATGTTTTCAGGACGAACTATTGATTATTGCCCCTTACTGCACGTTTAGTTGAAAGCTACTAACTAATACATTCAATGAAATTGATTGTTAATTTATTTTTTCTATTATTTTTAAAGTGGTTTTCAATTTGTAATCGGTATTATTTCATGAGGGGACAATTGTATAGCATACGTACAGCCAATAAAAGGGATGTTTTCAGGACGAACTATTGATTATTGCCCCTTACTGCACGTTTAGTTGAAAGCTACTAACTAATACATTCAATGAAATTGATTGTTAATTTATTTTTTCTATTATTTTTAAAGTGGTTTTCAATTTGTAATCGGTATTATTTCATGCTTTAGAAAATTTTTGTTTTTCAATTTGTAATCGGTATTATTTCATGCCTTAGAAAATTTTGCTAAGGGTTTTGGTACATCTATACAAAGTTTGATATATTCCTGAAATGTAGGGAGTGAAAGGTAAATTTTCTTTTTTTATTTATCACATTTATTTTTTGAACTGTACAATTTTTTAATACATTGTATCAAACTTTAAGACAAAGGACAGGGAAGGGACAAAAATAAGACAAGTGGCTTTCACAAATATCTTTGCTCTCTCTACCTCTTGAAATCCCCATTATCTTTCATTAAAGATTTAGGTGGAGGACATTACAGATATGGAGGTGGGATAAATGGCCAAGGTGGTTGGTGGTTGGTTGTTCCAACGGTTGGTTCTTTGTATTTGGATGTTTGGTAAAAGAGAAAATCAAAAAAAGTGGAAGAAAGATATGCAGAACGACGTTATTTTTAAAATTGATGTCTTTTTTATTTTTTTTTAATTTTAAATCAAAAATTTTTATCAATTACAAATATGAAAAATTATTAGTTACCATTATTTTTAAAAATATTGAGGCATTTTGCCCATTTTGTACAAAATCAAGGTGATAATTAACAAATAAGAGGGGGAGGGGATCTTTGAACAAATTGTGTATCACAAATAAATTTAGAGGATAAATTGAACTAAATGTAATTTTCTCATGCTTTTTCTTTTTTTTTAAAAAAAAAATTCCAACTATTTGATTAAGTCAATAAAAAAGATGTTTCCATAATCCGAACATATGTAAGCTAAAAATGGAAAAATGAAAAATGACCATCAAGATACAATTCTTTATAGATATTATGAATATATATATATATATATATTTATGCCAATACTATATAGTCTATAATTATTATCATTTTTTAATCTTTCAAATGTTCAAATTAAATATTCATTTCATAGAGACACTGATTGCGTTTAATTTGTCGTGGCTTCCATATATATATATATATATATATATTTTTAATTTTAATGTCAATTAATATTCAATTTCAATAGAGACTGATTGTTTATTTTTGGTGGTTCAAAAAATAAATTCTTCACAATCGGCTTTGTCTTATTTTTCTCTGATTATTAGTGATTGCAAAGCTCTTCTTAATAAGTTGCAAGGAGTTTCTTATGATTTTGTTAGTTAGCTAGCGAATCAAGTCGCTCATACAGCCGCTAGGACGACTAATTCCATGTCTGGTTTTGCATTAGGGTATGCCTCTTTCTTTCTTATTTGATAACTTGTTGTTTATTATTAATAATATGAGCTAAGTGCAACCTTTTATTCAAACAAATATTATTTATTATTTTAATATATTATTTAAAATATTAATTAAATTTTAAAAAATATTTTATATTAACTTATTATTTTTAATAACCATAAACAAAATGATAAAAAATATTAAAAAATTATTAGTAGTTATTTTATAAGATTAATAAAATTTAAATATAATACAAACACAAATAGCTATTTGTAAGAATTAATCAACTTTCCAATGAATTAAAATGAAAAGATCTCTAATGTAGGAAGTAGAAACTTTCAACTTCAAATCCGCTATAGTTATTCTTCAAAACAAAAAAACCATATTACTGAAGTTAAATTAATTATAAATTACCTTTTGATCTCCAGATTCCTCATGACCAGAAATTTTTTTTTTTTTTTTTGTGTAAACTACTGATATTCGGATGTACCCTATTAACAAAGACTGTCTATTTTGGATCAGAGCTTAGTTACAGTTAAGGCTTTTCGTCCCTCTCTGCAAGTTTGTTTAGTGGGGATCGACCTGAGAGCTCTTTCCACAGGCTCAACCTGTGTAACCAACTAAGCCACAACACGTAGGTATTCATCGTGACCACTTTAATGTGTGCTTGAGTATCTCCCTCACTTTGAAGTTGATCTAATTTTTATCAACCGATTTCTTCTCTCCCTCAATACTTAATCCTCAGACACCATTGAGTGTATCACCCAATTGATATGGTTTCTCCATCACAAGCATGGAACTTTCACCACAAACATAAGCTGCAAACAGCAGAATTATATGGAATTATATTAAGTTTAATTTCATAAATTAAGAGATTATAACATATATATGAAATTTATATATACGTGAATTTTGAATTAATCCTAATTTTTTTTTAAAAAAAATATTCAAATTGATACATGGATTTGCAAATTCTATATAGTTAACCTGTAGATACATGTATAAGCAGGTTTAGTTTGAGACACTTTTTGGCAAAGTCCCACATGGTAAGCGAGGCAACAAATGCAAACCCAAAGGCTCCCATAAAGCTCCTGCTGCTAAGCTATAAGCTGCAGCATTACACTCCCTAAAAGCTTTGATAAATAAAGCTTGCTTATTTATATTGTCTCATTTTATTTTCTTTTTTCTCTTTATGCAGTTTGTCTCTTCATCTAATTTTAATATTTTCATTTTCCACAGTTATATCCCTTCATGTTTCTACTGGTAACCTGTTGATAAATAAATTCTAACATCCTCCCTCCTTCTGTACCAAAATTTTTTTTTATTATTTTCTTCTCTACTGTTATGTCCCTCCATATTTCTACCATATTCATAAATAAACATATAAATCGAGAGACACTTTCGTTACCAATAAGGCATTAATTATGGTGACAAGTGGGCTCAATCTCGTAAAGGGATTATACCTCCTGATCGTACCATAACCAAAAAAAAAAAAAAATGGAGAGATACACTCGATTGTTAATTATAATATTACATTCCCTGTTCCCTATCTATATCTAAGAGAGAATTTTGATTTCTTCCTTTTTTTTTTCCTTTGTTTTCTTTACATAATAGGATGAGCCTATTACGCATATAAAAAATTTTATTTTTTATTTTTCTTTTTACATTTTGAAGGTACAATGAGATATGTTAGGATTTTCTTTATCATTTATTTTTAAATAGTTGTATTTGTATTATTGGCTTAACTAGTATTTATAAGAAGTTCTTTTAGTGTCATCAAGTATGTATAATATTTTGTATTATATATGTAGAAGTTGAATCAAATTAAAACTTATTGAAGTAAATTTTGGCCAAGTACTAAATCTATTTACTTGATGTTATAAAATCTTTCGAGTAACTTTATGTTCCAAGAAAGGAAATAGTTTGTTTATATTATCCACCTGCTGCTAATGTTTTCAAGTGTAATATAGATGCTGCACTTATTAATGAGAAAGTTGTATTGGTTTTGGAGAGAGTTTTAGGAACTCGAACGGTGAAGTTGAGATTGGTTTATCTGGTAAGTTGCTTGGTTTGTCTTTTCCTAAGTGAGCAGAAGCCTTAAATCTTCGTGATCGAAGTACTGCATTGGATTAAAAGACAAGGGTATGGTTGTGCTTGTGGGGTTAGATGCTTTAATTAGAGGTTCTTAGGGCCATTCATTCTACAGTAATTTGGCTATGAATTAGATCTAGAAGATAAGACTTATTTATTGTGAAGTAAATTTCATGACAGACTTTACATAACTTTACTAGCTCTACCCCATTGGGGCTCGTAGTTTGTTAATATTCCTGCTAGGATTTTAAAGTGGTTGTTACATGATCCCATGGGGTGGATAGAACTATTGGATAACTATTCCAGCTGTGTTCTGTTACAGATATAATACAATACAATATATAATTATGTGATAAAACACTTGAAAGAGATACTTTGTCCGTAAAAGATGCTTTGTCTATGAAAGATGCTTTGACCATTCATGGACTTGCCTAATCAGATTTGCTTTCCTTTGTATAAAAAAATATATAATTATAACGATAAATTAATAACGATATTACTCAAGAAAAATTAAAAAACAAATAATAACAGAAGAAAAAATAAATGATTATACAGGGGTTGAATGGCCAAACTGGCTAAAATCAGCGGAGTGAAAGACTAAATATAGAATATAGAAATTTCAAAAGGGATTTCTTGAAATGTAAGGATGAAGTATTTGTATTTTAAAATATACAGGGACGTAATTTTTTTCATAAAATAAGTATTCTAATATTGCACTACACCAACAAGCATGTTTATATACAATGAAATGAATTTTCCATACTCTACCGTACTGACAGCATTTATAACGATTTAAAAGCCAGAAAGAATTAAATCCAGAAAGTACAATCTCTAACAGAAATGGTACGCTATGAAGAGTCAAACTTGGGACACTTGATCCCAGGCAATTGTCCCGTAGACGTAACCCTAAACAGTTGAGGGTGAACCACGTAAATTTTTGTGTGTCCCATTTCTATTTTCCGCTACGTTAATTTTCTCTTAATTGGTTGAAAGGACCCAACGAATAGTATCAGAGCTGATGCCCAATAACTGGTATAAACAGCAATTACCCTTACTGTTAGGGAATCATTTGCAAATAATTGTAAGTATGAATCTAACGGTTATTAATGGTCTGTTAAATATGGTTCTGGTTTGTTAGTATATGTCATATCACAATTTAATTTCTGGATGATTCTTCACCAGAATTCTGTCTCATGCATAATCAGACACGGAAGGTCAAGTAGTTCTCATTATTGCCCAACACACTACATTTCTGAACTTGAAATATCAATCCAAAAAGAAAAAAAAAAAAAAAAAGCATACGTTCTAGAAAAAGGAAATTGTTGAGTTTTAAGAACACTGGAAAGACACTTCTTAAAATATATAATTAATTCTGACATGAGCAAATCATACATAAATAATACTAATTACCCTTAAAAAAGAACACAGTCTGAATAGAATTACAATTTTCTTGGAAATAATTAATAATGAAAGAAAACTATATATGATCTTTTATTTCCCCCTTCTAACGGTTAATTATCATTTAAACACATATTTTACGATGCCAGGAATATGAATATTTGTGAAGTAATTTTCCCAATCAATAGATTTTGGATCGAAATAGAACAAATCATTCTCCACACCATTCTCTTTCGCCGCCATTCGCAATTTTTCTGTGTTCATATCATCAAATCTGCAATTATGTGATAAAGTAAATTAACAATGAAATATTTGGTAAATTATATATAAATCATTTTGTAAAAATTAATCACACGATACATACACTCCCTTGAAGAACAAGTATGGCCTATATAGTTCCACCAGTTTCATAACATAGTTGATCTTCCTACTGAGGTCACTGTACATGCCCTCAAAATGATTACAAAATGCTGTGTTTGCAAATTCCAGTCCCTGTATTAAAAGAGAGATTAGAAAAGAAACTTTTATGCTATACAGTCCGAGTGGATTAAACCACTTCGGTTATACCAAAAAAAGAAAAAGACAGATTAATCAACTTCAATATTATATATAGCATGTTTTTTTCAAAGAAATAACAAACCTTTAGCAATAACAAGTAACGGAGAGCCATGTATCTGTGAAAGCTATTCATGGTTTCTAAGACTTTAACTTTACCAACTTTGACAGGTTTCCCATCTTTACCAATCCATGGTTTTCTGGTAAAGTAGCTCAATCCGTAATCCTGAAGGTTACTGTATCTAACAGGATGTCTAACTGAAGAACCCACTTGATAAATTGCATTATCACTTGGTTCATTAGCATGAGCCACCATTGCTACAATTATTGCGTTCACCACCATATCTCCTGGTATCTGCAAAATTTATACTTAATCTCCAAAACTTTACCATCAAACAAATTAGCAAATTACTAGGTCTAAAAATATAATCTATGTTGCACCGAAACAACGTGGAAACACTAAAATGCGGAAATGTTAAAATACACAGATGGACACGAAAAATAGAATCTTAAAAAATGTGGGAAATTAAAAACATGGGAAACGCATAATTATAAAAAATATTGAATTATATTTATTAATATAAAACATAAATTATTACAAACTATCAAAGATATCCGACAATAAGCCAAGTCTAATCATAATTATTAAAGGTGCGCCCTATGAAGGTTGGAACCTTAAACATTGAAAGGCTGGCGATATTCATGAGGCAGAAGCTTTTGGTTTTGGTGCGTGCCTTTGCACAAGCACAAGGAGCAGAAAAAGGTGCATCTTTTTTTTATTTCCTTCCCTGCATAGACAGCTAGGGTTTCCTTTTATGTTTATATGATCTAGCCACCTCCGCTCTTCATATACTATATGTTTATGTAAAAAATAATAATAATAATAATAACAGAAGAAAAGAAGAAAAATATACAGATTCTCTCTTTGAATTATCAATCTCTTGCTTTTACTCTCTCTCTATTTCAATATCTTAAAATATAAGGGGTTATGCTGCAAGGTTTTTTTCTGATCTTGTTAGAACTTCAGTTATAGAGACCTTAACGATGATATTTGTTTGGATACTGAGCAAAGGGTAGGAAATTAGAGAAAATAAAGAGTAGAGAAGAAAGAGAAAATTTTTGAAGATGGGAAAAGTAATACCGAGAGAAAAGAGGCTATATAACTTTTTATTTCGTGTTTGAGAAGGACTTACCTACACTTGATGTTTTGATCTATCACTGTACCAAACCAATTAAATACATTTTTTGAGATTATTTTGAATTAAAGTAACAAGTTTCTGAAAGCGAAGACATATTTTTAAATTAATACAATTTAATTATGGAAATTGAACAAGACATTTTCAAATACTTCACTATAGAAAACGTTTCTGAAATGCGGATACAACAATCAAAGAGAAATTCGGTGCAATATGGGAAATCATTGGACTAGTAATTCGATAAGGAATATTTATCTCATATTATAAGAGGTTTAAAGTTCAAACTATGATACCCCTAAAAATCTGGTTGAAAATTTCCAATGTATTAAAAAATTATCTAATATCAATAAATCGTGAGGAAAATTGGATTTTTGTAGGAAAAAAATAAATTAAAATTTAACTCACCACATCAACAATTCCATTAATATCACCAAGAAAGCATGTAAGTCTTCCTTTCGCATACCCAACAGCCAAACTGTCAATTGTTCTACAATAACAGACAGAGATAAACACATTATTCTGTTATTTTCCTTCTGCTAATCTCTCAAGAATCAAACAGAAACTTAAATACAAGAACTAATTATATAACCATAAGGAGAATTATAGTGACATGCCTGACACCTTCAACCCAACCAGGGAAGGGTTCTTTGTAAGTGCTGGTTACAATGGTAGGTCTTACGATGACAACCGACAAATTGCCCTTTAAGTGTCCTACAAGCATCTCTCCCATTGCCTTTGTAAATACGTAAGTATTTGGCCATCCATACACCTTCGCCCTAACGATAAATGTTAATTAGTACACTAATAAAAAGATGCTTTTTTATGTACTTTTATGGTTATCCTCTCATTTCCGTTTGAATGGTTAGACAAAGATTAATTATTTTTACGTGGAAAATTGATTACACTAAAAAATCTTTCCTAAAATATCAACTTCTTAACTCAATTTTTCATTCACGGGATAAAATTAAGTGTTTCAACTGCTAAACCAAATTATATTTACGTTTAAAACACTGTTCGGATTATTCTTACCCATTACATTTGTCATCTGTTGAACTACATTTAATAGTTGTTCAACTACCTTTTTTAATACTTTTTCTGAGCCGTGGTCAGTGGGTTGGTGTCACTCTCAAAATGTGAATGCTTTAATCATACTTTTTACTATTCCCTGTCAAGATGATAAATGCATTCATTTAAAAAAATAAATTTTGGATGTCCTGGTACTTCCGTTCTGGTTGTTAATTCTGGTAGATTCAATGAAAAAAATAAATTTTCTTTTCTCCACTTATTTAGAAATGAAAAAAATATGGGAAAAAAGAAAATATGAAAGAAAATAAATTATGAGCCCCAACATCTATATTCTCTCCGATCTAAGAGAATTTGAAATTCTATTTGTTGTTTAGTGTAAATTTTTTTTATTTATCTTTTTCATTTATAAATATTTTGTTCAAAAAAGTGTAAATCGCATTATTATGATTTTAATTTTAATATACACGAATTATACATTTACACAAAATCTTAGATATTGGGTATTAATTCTAAGAATCAAATCATAAAAATCAAAAAGTTTTTTTTTTTTCCTATAACAATAAGGTGTTAATCCCTTAGAACCGTAGAGTTTAAAGATTTTTTGTCTTTCCAACAAAATGTACTTCTCAAATCAAAATTATGTTATCACTTTTACACAGTTGAAGTAGTTTATCAATCTGATAAATATCTTATTAAGCGTTACTTTGTTTTCTTCATTAAATTTTATATTTGCCGACAGTCTATAATGTAAATTACTTGCTAAGCATATGTAGAAACAACGTGTGACTTGCTATATTCACTAGTTTTTATCTAAAATTTTGTACTGAAAACTGAGCCCTATATAACAATAAGATTTGTCTATACGTATAATGCACTCAAATTGTAAATATCACTCCAGTTCGAAATATGACAAATCTCTTGGTGAAATTCAAAATGATGATGATGATGATGATATTTCGACAGGTGCTATTTTTTGACTTGTTTCAACAACAATTTTTTAAATAGTTTTTAGCATTTGGACCAGTCAAATCACTATACGTTATTTCTTATAGTATTCTGTAACATAGTGTTTGAACTAGCTTTTAGAGATTAATGTAATGTTTTATAAAAAGTTAACTCATGTGATGTTTAACTTTTAGCGTTTTATGAAAAATGACTCAAACAACTAACAGTTAAACGCTACTAAAATAATTAATTTTGCTGAATAGACCTTTTACATTGTTGGTAATATAGCGTTTAAACTAGCTTTTAAATATTAAAGTAGCATTTTATAAAAGGTTAACCCATATAATATTTAGCTTTTAACGTTTTATGAAAAGTTATTAAAGTAACTATAAATATTATCAAATCAATTAACAACTAATTTTGCTGAATAAATCTTGAATACAAATTTAATATTTTGATTTGACACTGCGAAGGTATTAATAAGGCCAAAACAAAAACCATCAACATCTGTTCTATCAGTAGATTGGTAGGTTATCTTCCTCCTATGAATTTTTATGCTTCTAAGTACTTGTCTCATGACACCTAAAATTATTTTGATTTAATTGTGATGTGTCCAAATCCAGAAAATTCAAATAGTTAATCCTTTATGTATTGCTTATATTAAAAGTTTCACATCTCTACAGTTCTTGTCCCTACCCAAACTCTGTGTAGTAGTTTTGTTTTTGCACTGAAATATTATTGTGTAAAGTCACCTAGTGAAAAATAATAATAAATATTTTCTGGTATATTTAAAAATACATTTTAATTCAACAGAATTACAGTAGTTTCAAAATTTATATAATTATATTTTCAAAATTTGATAAAACTTAATTAATAAAAATTTTTATCTCATTTATAATCATATTTAAGAATAGGTTAATATAATTTTTCTCTCATCATAAATGTATATCAGTGCTATTATAAAACATTAGGCTATTATAAATTACACTAAAAATATGTTTGATTGCATTAAATTTCATCGTAATTAACTAAATAAAACATTGTTTTTTCGATCTCGATGGCTCAACTGGCAATCTCAAATTAAGATTGTTATTACTAATTAGCTTCAGTTAGACTTTAAACTTGCAATCTTACATGCTTATAAATTTAAAAATAACTCTAATGTTATTTAACCAAAATTTATTAATAGGTATAATTTTATAAGTTAAAGGGTTAAAGTAAAAATTTCTGATGCTTAAGGTTTTTTTACGTAGGTATGTGCAGTGAAGTATAAAGGTGAATGCATTGGCTAGAAAACGTAGGTATGTGCAGTGAAGTATATATATAAATATATAGGACCAAACCTTTGGATGCCCATATCTTTCATGGCTTCCTTGATAGCTTGAGGAGTGGCCCCTTGTGATTGAAGTTCATCTAATTTGAGATCGACCAGTTTCTTCTCTTCATCAATGTCTAATCCAGAAACTCCATTAAGTGTCTCTCCATTTCCAAATGGATTTTCTAGTATCAGTCCTGACTTCTCTCCAGAAACATAAGCTGAAAAATATGGACCACCACCCTCTTTATTCTTTTCATTCTAAGATTAAGTTAATCTTATTTAACTTATTAGTTCTATATATATTGTTTTTTTATGTATATCAATAATAATATTAACTTCTATTTAAAAGCAAAAAAATAAAAATAAATTACGTTTTCTGAGCAATAATGGAATATAATATAACGTAACCAAACTTATTTCTAATATTTTCGCCGAACGGATTTGGTTAAATAGATGCATTATATTTCCACATTATTCTTACTATTATTATTATATCAGAAAAAAAAATATATATATATATATATATATATATATATAATCTTACCAGTTGGAGGACATGATATATATAATCTTACCAGTGGAGACATGGATAAGAACCTTGAGCTTAACACACTTGTTGGCAAAACACATAACATGCTTAGCTCCAATTGTGTTGACTTCAAGTGCCACATCATATCTGAATAAAATAATTAATTGAAAATCAACTTAGTTTATTTTCTAAAAATAACTATGCTAAGTACTATTTTTTTTTTAATCATACCTTTCATCAAAATTGGTTGTTGCTGCTAAATTAACAATAACATCCAATTCTTTCCACATCTCCTCTCTCAAACTGGATTCTTTCACTCCCAAATCCTCATCATAAGAAATGTCACCAGTGAGAAGGACAATTTTTTCATTTATAAAAGAATTTAGATTTGCTCCGCATTTTTCTTTTAGTACTCTGAACAAGTCCTTCCCTATAATCTGAAATTAAAAAAAAAAAAAAATAAAAATAAAAAGAGAAGAAGAAAAAAAGATGATGACACCAAAAACCCATATATTTCAAGAAAAGGAAAAACCAAGAAAAAAAAAATGCGCTTAAAACAGAGACAAGTTTTTTAAACCTATCATCGTATCTTTGTCTTTTAAGAAAAGAAACAAAAATTTTCTTTTTAAATTCCTTGAACTGTTTACCTCATTGTGAAAGCGTTGAGAAGCAGACTTAGCATCTGCGGCTCTCAAAAGAAGGTACAACTTCTGCACATTTGGTTGCACTCTTAATATTTTCTCCACCATTACTGCACAATAGAAAATAACCCATAAATTAATTTTATACTCAAAAAGAAAAAATAAAAAGTAAAGAAAGAAAATGATGATTAGTACTCTTTGCTAGAAACCCAGTTGCACCAGTGATCAAAATATTCTTGTTTTCAAGAAATTGAAGAATGCTTCCAAACTCCATTTTCAGAGAGAGAGAGAGAGAGAGAGAGAGAGAGGAGAGAAGTCTGAGATAAGTGAGATGAGAGAGAAGAGGAGAGCTGGAGCAGAGAGAGAGCGATGAGTTATTGAATAGGTGGGTTCGTTTATCTTAAATTAGAAAAGAGGACACTTTTTGCTTTGCCAAAATTCCAATCCCATTTCAGTATACGGGTAGAGATTGAAGAATGCTTCCAAACTCCATTTTCAGAGAGAGAGAGAGAGAGAGAGAGAGAGAGAGAGAGAGAGAGAGATGAGTTATTGAATAGGTGGGTTCGTATATTTAAATTAGAAAAGAGGACACTTTTGCTTTGGCCAAAATCCAAGTCCCATTTCATATAAGGTAGAGAGGGGACAATCATATATAGTGAAGTGGAGTACACGTTTTACATATCTGCATTCTTTGGTAGTTTATGTCATTTATTGAATTTTATTTATCTTTATATCCATATCTATATATCTGTCCAAAAATTTACTATTTAGAGAATTGATAGAAAGATAATTTACTCAATTTTTAATATGTACTAAATATGATTTACAATTTATAAATTATAAACTACAAAATATATATAGTAATTAAATAATCCGCATGCTAAATCTTCAAAATTTACAACTTTATCTCAATGTTACTGAAATTTAAATAAATAAAAAAAACAGAGAGATTTCAAATTTGACTTTTAGAGTCAAATTTAACAACAAAAGGAACAAATTCTTTTTTTTATTTATTAAAAAGGATTTTTGCTTTCATATAGAATTCAATTGGTGAATTTAGAAATTTGGCAATTGTACTATCTGTATATATTGTTTTAAATTTAAAATTTGATATAAAGTCCAACTTTTCATGATTTGTATTTTGCCGTCAAAGTTTATGGTAAGACTCAGAATGTGAATATCAAAATTTAGTCGGTTTTTTTTTTTTCGTAGGTGTGAGACCATAAATTTGATTCTTCATAAGCATATTTTACTGGAATTAAATCTCTTGATTATACCAAAAAAAAAAAAATTCAGTCTATTTCCATATAAGAGTTCTTTTTTTATGATATAATTTATTAGTAAATAATAATAATGTAAAGTGTTACCATATTCAATTAGATTAAAAACATAAAACTTATTATCATAATTAATGGAAAATTCTCTTATCTTTTAATAAATTAAAAAATTATTATTTATATTCTTTTTTATGTGTGTGAACCACCGGTATATAAACTATCTAATCTAGCTCAAGATTTAATCATAGCTAAAATTCTTCGACCCTCCTTGTAGGTGTGTTTAGTGAGATCGAACCCGAAAGCTCTTCTTACATGCCCAACCTTACGTTGCTAACTGAGCCACAACCCGTAGGTTATATATATTCTTTTATTTGAATAACAAAACAAAAAATAAAAGAGAAAATATTAGATTTTTCTGCTTGAAAATGACCTTGACAACATATATAAATCTTTATAGTAACAACTCATCTTTTAATTGATTGAACGTAAAATAATTTATTTGGTTCTTCTATACTTAGATTGCTTTTTTTAAAAAACTTTTTTTATATGATGTACACAAATGAATTCCTGCCACTATGCGCAATAGTATTAATGGATGAACAGACCACACTATAGGCTCCATTGATTGAAAATACAAATTCGCAAATTAAGATCTAAATTCTCCAACAAAATAAAATCAAATATCACGCTTTTAGGTAGTACTAAACCTTCACAAAAAAGAAAAGAACAAAAATCCTCAAGAAAGATTGCAAAAAAAGCTCCAAATATACAGGTAAAGCAACAATAACCAAAAAAAAAATAAAAATAAAAATAAAGAAAAAACAAATATGTTAGAGGAAAACAAATGCAATTTTATTAAAATCAAATAAAATATTAAAGCAAAAGAAAAAGTGAAAAAATAGAGGCCACCGCTGATTGACAGCAATATCTCCAAACTAAAACTAAGATTTAATTAAATAAAGAAAAAGGAAAAAAGAAAAAGAGGGTTCAATGTAGACGAAACTCTTGAGTTTATTATTGAGTGAGTAAGAAATATGGTTAGAGAAAACCAATGGACGTGTACTTAATACACCACTCATTTAATCAGAAGTCTTTTATTTTTTTTTATCATTATTCAATGTATTTCACTCTCTAACATATACATTTGTCTAGATATTTTAGGCTTTCAAGAAATAAATGATGAAATGAAGATAAAAAATTTGGTTTGAGGAAATGAATTTTTGGTGCGGGATGGTGGCCTACGCAGCAGAACATGAAGCAACGCTATACACAAAAATGGAACATTTATAGCTATAATATGTCCGTATTCCAACCTAACCTAACCTTTCAAAACATTTATAGCAACAACTGCCTGCGGAACGTGTGTGTCAGTGTTTAAATATAATCATGTGATAGTAATAATATGATCTACGATATGAAGAGAGAGTCAACCGGTAAAAACATTTAAATTTTATGGATGATTTCTGTAAAATTGAGAATTTGATCCCTAAAAAAAACAATTTATAGTTTATTTCAGTTCTACACTTAAATAAATAGAAAAATAATTTAGACTCTATTTATTTTCGGAAAATAATTTATTTTTGAAAAATATTTTCTAAATTACTTGCAGTATTGAAAATTAGTTAAAAAAAATATTAAAATTAGACTGAAAAATATTTTCAGTCTTCTTATAACTTGGAATATGTGATATTTTATGTGCCTTATGACTTTATTTTAATATTAATATTAAAATATAAAAGTGATCTTTTTATCATACAAGTCATTCTTTTCTCGTCCAATTCAATCAAAGTATTAATTCTTATTCATGGTTTTCAAGAAGTTCTGACAGATCGTGGATTAATTGACATTACTTCAGAAGGTTCTATTTTTACATGGGAGCAACAGTTTCAGAATATGGTTCAGATTTAGGAACGACTTGATCGAGGGCTGGCTAATGATAGATGGCAATGTCTGTTTCCAGATTATTCTTTTGGAACCCGTCCTGGTTAATAATTTACAACAACGATGTATTTTTCGATTTGACAACCATTGGTTAAGGGAACCTAATGTTTCCATTGTAGTTGATAGGGGTTGGACAATTTCAGATAATATGGAATTGATGGATTGTAAGACAATTTCAGATAATATAGGATTGATGGATCGTAAGACATCGGTAGTGCATGAGCTTATTTTATAGGATAAAACTCGAAATTTGGAATTTCGGCAGCGTAAACAGTATATCAAGCGACTTTTGGAAGATGCTAGAAACACTATGACTGATGTAGAAATTTATCAATTGCGTGAGGAATGGAATCCTTGTTGGAGCAAGAGGAAATTCGACGTAGACAACAAGCCAAGTATTTTTGGTTGAGGTATGGGGATCAAAACTCAAAATATTTCCATGCCTCTATTAAAAATCGCAGAAGATGTAACAACATTTCAAGTTTAAAAAAATGCAGCTAATGATTGGATTTATGATAGAGCTGGAATTTAGACATTGGTGTTAGACTACTTTCATAATCTGTGTTTTGGAACTTCCGTTAATGCTTCTCGCATAACTGGTTTGCTTGATTAACAGATTTCAAATGTTGATAATACTTGTTGTTGTGGAAATTGGGCTTTTTCTACCAAATTTAAAACAATTTGTGAATTACTGTACTGATTAACTACACCAGGTAAATTCCCAGATAAGTGGAGGAGTTATAAACGATCTCACTTAAAATCCACTTGCCTTGCACTAAATTTGTGTCGTTTGACAGAATTTACCTAGACATGCAATTAATCAGACAACAACCACCAAAATATTTTTGCCCAACAATAGCTATTAAATAAATAAAGTTAAAGCAATAAATAAGAGAGAACACCAGAATTTTAACGAGGTTTGGGCAATTTTGCCTACGTCCTCAGACACTACCAAATTTACATTTCACTGAAGAAATATACAAATTGAGAGAGGAAAGAAACTTTTCCAACTCACTAGGTATTGAAAGACAAGTTGGGATGATTAAAATGAAGAAACTAGGCTCCTTTTTATAGCTAAAATGAACCCCTCTCCCTTCCTAAAATCTCAATGTGGGATATTTGCCACATAACCAACAATCTCCACCTTGGGGAAAATCCCACCAATGCAAGCTTCTGCTCGATCTCTCACAAATTTGCAATGTCTACAAATGCGCTTGGTCATGCCAAACTTTAATTTTTAACAATATTAATCAAGTCCAAACAGTATTTGAACTTGACAGCTGTCACCACTTTTGTCAACATATCAACAGGATTCTCAGCAGTCTGAATCTTTTGGAGTTGAACCTGTCCTTCCTTTAGAATTTCTCTAACAAAATGAAATCGAACGTCGATATGCTTCGTTCTTGAATGATAAACTTGGTTCTTTGCCAAGTGAATAGCACTTTGGCTATCGCAATGTACAACAATGTTATTTTGCCTAATTCCCAATTCATCAAGCAATCCTTGGATATAAACTTGGTTCTTTGCCAACGTGAAAATTAGCACTTTGGCCTATCGCAATGATATTACAACAATGGTTATTTGCCTAATTCCCAATTCATCAAGCAATCCTTGAAGCCAAATTGCTTTCTTCAAGTCTTCTGTAACTGCCATATACTTCCTACTGCCATATACTCTGCCTCTATTGTAGACAAAGCCACTATTGACTGTAAAGTAGACTTCCAACTAACTGGTGCTTTTGCAAGAGTAAACACATAACCAGTAGTTGATCGATGTTTATCCAAATCACTGGCAAAATCATAATCACAGTATCCGATTATGCGTTGACCACTATTCTTATTCTGCTCAAAAATCAATCTAACATCCACGGTGTTCAGAAGGTACCGCAGAATCCATTTCTCAACTTGCCAATGATCCTTGCCAGGATCATGCATGTATTTGCTCATAACTCCAACTGCCTGTGAAATGCCTGGTCTTGTACACACCATAGCATATATCAAGCTGCCTACAACATTTGTATAGGGAACTTTTGACATGTATTCTCATTCTGCATCATTTTTTGGCAACTAAGCTGTATTGAGTTTGAAATGAGGAGCAAGAGGTGTACTAATAGGCTTGATTTTGTCATCCATACAAAAACGCTTTAGTATCTTTCTCAGATATTGCTTCTTCTTTCTCAGATATTGCTTCTGATTCAGACAAAGTATCCCCAATTTCCTATCTCTGGTTATCTCGACGCCGAGAATCCGTTTTTGCTTCGCCTAGATCTTTCATTTCAAATTCTTGATTCAACTGATTCTTCAAATTCTCAATTTTTTCTTTATTCTTTGAAGCTATCAACATATCATTAACATACAAAAGTAGATAAATGAAAGAGC